CCACATTTAAAGTTGTTTTTTTATAGATCTGGCCAAATGATCTGCAATTTTGACCAGAATTAGGCAGTTCGAAGTTGCTAACATTTCGCACGAATTTAGAAATTTTTAAAATTTTAAACATCTAGTGAAGGGTTTCTCAATAACTACTTATTCAAAATTCGGTAAATTTTTTTTTTATTTAAATCCCATAATTTTATAAAATCAAAATTAAAAAAATTTATTGAATTTAATTTAATAGTTATCGAGAAATCTTAACTAGAAGTTTAAGAAAACCTTAGAAAAGAACTAAAGATTGGGCAAAATTTTCTTTTCCTAAACTTTAAACAAGAAAGTTTTTTTTATTTTAATTCTGAAAACTTGTAGAATTAAAATAAAAAAATTATCATTTATATAAGTAGTTGCCGAGGAAAATTAAAAAAAAAAAATTTAAACGAAGGTTACTCGATACCAACCTGACCCAATTCAATCAATTTTTTTAATTTAATTTAAACTTATAGAATTAAATAAAAAAATTTTTTTGATCAAATTTGAGTAGGTACCGAGTAATCTTTGTTCAAAGTTTAGGCAACTACAAAGAAAAAAGCAGTGGCAACAACCAGCTATCCAAATTCAATCATTTAATTCTGTAAACCCATAGATTCATGACTACGGCCAAAATTGCAGATCATTTTACCAGATTTAAAATTGTTTGTTCTAGATCTGGCTAAATGATCTGCAAATTTAACCAGAATTATAAACGATGGATTTTTCTATTTATCAGATGGCCTATATGATTTCATAAATTCATGCTACAATAATTATTATTATTTATTAGACAGAAAATCAAAATCTGGCATCGGTCATAATTTTGACTGGTCAGTTAAATCTCTCTGACCGGTCAATATCGGTTACAGTCATTGACTGGTCATGACCTGACCATGTGACTTAATTGTTAAAAGCTAAAACTATGATAATAATAAAGCTAAGATACTATCTACAATCTAAAACCTTAAATGCTTTGATTTGGAAGGCAGAAAGTAGGTGTGGAGAGACTTGGTCCGAGTCTCAAAGCTTTTCGAGTCTTGCTGCGACTTTTTTGGCAGTTAAGATAAGTATACTATTTGATTATACTTGTTTTGGTTACTAATATACTTTAGCCAGAAGCTAAGTATGTCTTTTTCCAATAGTCAAGATTTGGCAGGTTCCAGTCTTTAATACAATTGTTAAGATTCTTAACGATTGTCATGTAGATCCCGTGTGATAACTACTGCAGTGTTCGGTAGTTTAATATTCTTTACGTCACAGGCAAGAATATCAGTAGATCGAAGACTTAATTTGGATTAACGTCACGAATAGATATTAGCTGAGGTCGGAAGTTGGATCTTCAATTGATCGATGAGGTCACAGGCTCCTGATGTTACGAGAAATTTGGCTGATCGATGCAATTAATATGCAACAATACTTCATTCACTAATGCGATTGTTATACTAATTAATAATAACAATGTGTCATGGGTAAGGTTAAGTATTTATATAAGAGGGTTTTTATCTTTATTCAATTCTTATTATTTTCTAAAGAGTTGAATGACTTGGGTCAAGGTTTTATCAATATGGAACACAAAGTTAACACTTCTACTCTAATTTTGAAGGTCAAGACTCTATTTAGAATTATACAATATAACTTTCGGTTTTATCAATATTAATGTGACAGTGAAGAGACTATTTGGATGATTTATTTAGGAGCGAAGGAAAAAGATAAGTAATTTCTACTATTATTATTTTGAAGTATAACTTAACTGCCCCTTTATTAAGAAAGAAAAGCTCTCCTTATATAATTATTTTTACATATAGTGGAATTCTTTGAATCTACACTATTCTAACTATTTTTTGTATAATGAGAATAATTATTATTCTTGCTATCTTTAGGATTCCTACAATCTAGAGAATTCCCAGAATTCCTACAATTCATACTACTTATGACTACTAAAATGGAAATATCAAGGGCAACAAAACAAAAATAGGACTACTAAGATCAATCTGCTTCTCACAGTTCTCCCCTGCTAGAGAAAACCTGTTCCACAGGAATTAGGTGGAGTAATTTGTTGTATTCGAGGACGGTGAGTTTCTTGATTTGGGTAAGAGTAGTATGACTGGCCCGGTAAAGTTGTTTGACCCCCAAGGGTCTGAACAAAGAATATATTCTTTTTGACACCAACATATAGTAGGCAGAAAGTCAGGTTTGTTGCAGAAGCACTTTGTCAGTAGGACTTATAGTACTGAGTCTTTCTCCTAGGTAGTAGGCATGAACCAAGATGCCAGTAGGGTCACTATGAGTCTTAGCTTCTGTAATTTGATCATAGATCAAATTAATTTGGGTTATAAGATCTTGGGTTTCATTATACGGACGAGGTTTAGCAATGACTATGGGGGAGTAACCACCAATAGGTTTTGGAGTATCATTTTTTTTCTGTTGGCATCTTTTTCATATTGATTACGTGGTTCTCCCACTGTTTTTATAGGTTTTTTTTTTTTAATTAACTACTTATATAATGGCTTTGTGTGAGGTTGTCCAGGTTATAAGTGCGGGGCTTAAAGATCTTGACCAAAGTTTTAGTTCAAAAAAAAAAAAAGCCTAAATTCTTGATTTTTCTTAGGTCATAGGCACAAGGCATAATGGTCGGATTTCAGAACGTTTTGTCAGTTGAAGAAGTTTTTTTTTTTTTTTTAAAAAAAAATTATATAAGGAAAAGATGAAAGAAATAATGTAAAGAGGAGAAAAAAAAATAATAAAGTAAAATAAAAGAGAAAAGAAAAAATAGAGAAAGAGGAAAAGAAAAAAAAATAAAATAAATTTTATATTATATAGAACCACTTCTAGGCCACTTGCAAGAGCCATTCAAATTGGGCACTTTTTAAGTATCTAACTAGACTAAGGGTAGTATAGACACTACGGTGTATGTGTTCTACTCCATTACGTTGGAATAAACGATATATCCTGGTAGCAGCAGTTTGATAATGCCTGCTAATTACTAGCTGGAGGTTGTGGGCAGAGCCCCATTTATGGGAGCCAAAACAGATCCTAAGTAAAAGGCGTATGCTAGGCTTCTAATACGATCTTTTACTGCTAGGGCCTAGATCATGTTTTGGTAGGCGATAGTAGCTTGTATAGAGCTAGACTATTCAGGAGAGAAAGGGCATGGTATGGGCATAACGTCAAGAGGGAGGACCATTGATAGATCATAAAGAATTCGGAGGGTAGAATTAAGATTTTCCATTTTTGTATTTGTATTTAATAGCTGCTTCTTTATTAGAACAGAATTTTTAGCCTTATTTATAGACTTTCTCTCTTGTAGTAGGGCCTTAATAATGTCTTATTCACAAGCACTTCCAGTACTTTTCTGCCTATTTCTCGTAACTTATATGCACCATTTAGAAGGTTATTGTGTCATGGGCAGAATAAATCATGACCACACAAAACGTGACTCAAACGACGATCGGGACCTGGATCGATGCACGATCAATGATCGTGCATACAATGACG